GGAAAAGATTCCCTCCCCCCTTCCCTCCCTCCCTTTCTGGCGTTCCTTTCCAGGCCGTGATCGCCTGTGACGGTGTTTTTCGCGGCTCCAAGCTCATTCCACTCTTCCATACTGTCGACGCCGCCATCCAGCTCTGCAATGTGAGGAAGGAGAAGCAGGGGAAGGGAGGGAGACAGACAGGGAAGGAGGGAAGGAGGATGGGAGACAGGCAGGGAAGGAGGGAAGGAGGATGAGACAATTGATTAGGTGTTGAAGGGAAGGGGCGAAGATGGAATGGAGCGAGGGTGCGAGGCAAAGGAGAGCACGCCGCGGGAATTGGGGAACCTAGGAGTGTGCGGGCTAAGTTTGTGGGCGATGCCAATCGTCCTCGCATTCACCATCGGGAGCTTTCCCCCTCCCCTCTGCCGCACAGGAGCGGGGCCACATCATTGAACACACCTTAGTCCTGGAGCGGCTGGGGGGGGACGTAGCGGGGGTTCACCTGACGCCGGGTCGTGATGGTATAGACCGCAAGTGGAGTTTACATCTCGTGTTTCATACCTTTCGTCTCGTCTGTCCACGTGTTCTAATCATTTTTGGGCGCTCAATATACTTTAATTATGCTATGAGGGTCCTACATCTAGGGCACATGCGCAGATCATCAGCCTCCCCTCACTTTCTGTCCTCCTCCCTCCCCCTCCGTTTCCCCAGTCTGGTGGCACGAGGCGACGGCAAAGGCATCCTCCGCTTGCCCCGTGGAGTGGATGCCGTCCGAGCACCCGCTTTTCATCCTCTACACAAGCGGGAGCACTGGGAAGCCCAAAGGTACGGATGGAAATGTTGCGTAAACAGCGATAAATGACACTCTACAAAAGACAGCCATCTTTTGGGCGTTGAAGGGCCCAAGGCTCCATGTATATTGGCTTTTGAATGGCAAGACGGAGGACCGTTCCCAAATGCTCTTTTTTCCTACGCCATTGTCCCGCCTCTTCCTCTTTTCCCTCCTTCTCTACACCCCTTTGCCCCTCGCTCCATTTCTGACCCCTCGCTCCATTCCTATTCCCTGGCCGCTAACCCTCTAGGGGTTCTGCACACGACCGGGGGCTACATGATCCAGGCGGCAACCACCTTCCGCCACGTGTTCAACGTCCGCCCTGAGAAAAACGACATTTTCCTTTGCACAGCCGACTGTAAGTCTTAAATCTTTTTTCAGCTGGTGCCTGCTGAGTGGCTGTGTGTAGGGATGCATCCCTTACCCATGCGTGCATGCAGGACCTGAGAGGGAAGCGCTAGGTAAAGCCCCGTCGCTTTCAAACATTCGATGTGCACTTTAGCCAATAATTCACCCCCCCTTACCACGCGCGCGGTCCTAACTACACCTTCCCTTGTCGTGTCTCAGGCGGCTGGATTACCGGGCATAGCTACGTCACGTACGGCCCCCTCTTGAACGGGGCCTCCCAGGTCGTCTTCGAAGGCGTGCCCAGTTACCCCGACGGTGCGGCAATGACGGGAGGGAGGAGGCGGGGGAGGGTATCTTGAGATCAAAAAGGGGGAAATAGCTGCCTTCTGCTCTCTTTGTCTCTGCCGGGTCGCCTTTCATCTGTCCCTCGGGGAGGGCCTGGGGAGGTACCATGTTGATCCTTCCAACCGCCCGAAGCCTTCTTCTTCCCTTCCCCCTTTCTCACCCTCCTCCCTGCCATTCCGCCTTTGTGTCTCTGCAGTGGGCCGGCTCTGGCACATGGTCGACAAGTACGGCATCACCCATCTCTACACAGCGCCCACCGCGATCCGCTCCCTGATGCGAGAGGGGGACGAGCACGTGACAAAGTACGCGCGGAGCAGCCTCAAAGTCCTGGGTTCGGTGGGAGAGCCCATCAACCCTGAGGCCTGGAAGTGGTACCACGAGGTGAGGAGTTTGGGGCAGGGGGGACGGTATGGCGTCGTGGAATTCTTTGGGCAGATTTCTGGGGTGGGCGTGTGTGGTAGGTGTAGAAATTATGATGGCTATGTGGGGTCGATTAAGGCACTAAGACACTCGGGTCAGTAGTTCGAGAAATTCGGTCCCATGCCATCGATGGATCCTGGTGCGTAATTGAGAAAAGAAGATCATGGTGCGTGCTGTGAAAGGACGGGAAGGTGACGAGGGAGGCAGGAAACTTCTCAGTCACAGTAGTCTCAAAAGCTAGCAGCACCGACGTAGACTCTACGAGAAGTACCCAGCGCGTCTGGCGAGGAGACTAATGGGTGCACTGCCCTTCTGATTTTCTCCGCCGGAGCAGGTGGTGGGCGGGGGACGGTGCCCGATCGTGGATACCTGGTGGCAGACGGAGACAGGTAAGCGTCCTAACCCTACCCCTAACCTTAACCCTAATTTTAACCCTAGCCCTAACCCTAACCGGGTCAAGGCGGTCCACAGCCGTGTCTCGAGAGATGTTGACCACGGCGAGCGACGTCGAGGATGGCATGCACCACGATTGTTAGGAGTGGGCTTAGTAACTTAAGATAGGGTAGGGTAAGAAAGGACATATAAGCATTCGAAGCGAGGCTTACCGCATCCTCTTGCGTTCCTCTGCCGGCCCCCATCTGTGCCCTTAGGTGCCATCGCCATCGCCCCGCTTCCTATTAAAGGCTGGGGTCAGAAGCCGGGGAGCGCCTCTTTACCATTTCTGGGTATTGAGCCCGTCCTCCTCTCCCAAGACGGCAAGGTAAGTGTCCATACCAGGCTCCTGCGTGCAGTCTCTAGGAGCGTGAGGCCTCTAGGTGACGGGGCGGACAGACAAGGTTGAACCCCTCCCCTCCCTGCTGTCCATCCTTCCTCCTCCCTTTCCAGGAACTAGAGGGTCCGACCGAGGGCCTGCTCGCCATCAAATCACCCTGGCCCAGCACCTTACGATCTATCTACGGAGACCACGAACGCATGGAGCAGACCTACTTCTCCTTCGACGGCTATTACCTGACGGGCGACAACGCGAGGTAGAGGGCTGGAGGGAGGGAAGGAGGGAGGGAAGGGGGGAGTGCGGGCACGTCGACGATCGTAGCTATGCTCATACCCCTCCCTTTAGGCGCGACTCAGACGGCTACTACTGGATCACGGGTCGGGCAGACGACGTGGTCATCGTCTCAGGCCACAACTTGGGAACGGCCGAGGTGGAGGCTGCCCTGGTCCGTGCACCCCTCCCTTCATTTCTCCCTCTCTCCCTCTCTCCCTCTCTCCCGCCCTCCCTTGATCCTCGCATGTCGTTCGCTGTGCTGAGGCCAATCGTCTCTGACGTGCATTCATGCGCTGCCTCCCTTCCCTCCTCCCTCCCTCCCCCTCTCCCTTCCCATCCTCCTGCTCCCTCCCACGCAGGCCCAGCATCCCAGTGTGGCCGAAGCGGCCGTCGTGGGCATCCCCCACGACGTGAAAGGGAACTGCCTCTACTGCTATGTGACCCTCAAAGCCGGCCAAGCGCCCAGCCCAGACCTGGAGAAACAGCTGAAAGTTTCGG